ATGCATATTTATACTAGTACAAAGACATTTCTAGAATCATATTCTAGAGATTTCTATAATAAAGACTCAACAACCAACGACCAAGAGTTATTATATTTTCTAGATTTTGCTTCCATACAATTTACTAGATACACAAAAAACTTAAACATTAATTTTGGTTTATATTTCCAACAACTTGGTCATTAATTTTGGTTTATATTTCTAACACCCCCCCTTAAACCACTCCAAGAACTATCTTTAATTTTATGAACTGTTCTGCAGCTAATGGCTTTATGAAAATATCTGCAATTTGATCTTCAGATTTCACCTACTCCACTTGAACTTCTTTATCTTTGATCTGATCTCTTATATAATGAAAACGAACATCAATATGTGTGCTTCTCTTGTGATAAACTAGATTTTTTGATAATGCAATTGCTGACTTATTATCAACATATATAGATTTTTGTAGCTTCGACTTGAGAGTATCTAATCTCTTTCAGTAGCTTCCTTAGCCATATTGCATGACATACACATGATGATGCAGCAACATATTCAACTTCACAAGTAGAGAGAGCAACAACTGGTTGTTTCTGTGAGCTCCATGAGAAAGAAGTGTCGCCCATATAAAATAAAAATCCGCTTATACTTTTTCTGTCGTCTTGATCTCCATCCCAATCACTATCTGAATATCCTGAAAGTTGAAATTTGTTAGAATGAGAATATAGAAGTCTATGATTTTGTGTACCTTTAATATATGGAAGAATTCTCTTGGCTGCCTTCAAGTGTGTCTCAGTGGGATTTTCCATGTAGCGGCTAACAATTCCGATTGCATATAGAATGTCTGGTCTTGTACTTGTTAGATATCTTAGGCTTTCGATCAAACTTTTGAACATTGTTGGATCAATTGGCTTCCCTTCTTCTTTTTTTGATAATTTGATTCCACATTCCATTGGAGTGTTTACTGGATTGCAATTCTCCATGTTGAATTTCTTCAGAACTTCCTTTGCATATGTTCCTTGTGTGATAAAAATTCCTTCTTTATTTTGCTTAACTTCAATTCCAAGAAAAAATGACATGAGTCCAAAATCTGTCATTTCAAATTCTTTTACCATCATTTGCTTAAACTCCTTGAATAAAAGTGGGTTATTTCCAGTAAAGATAAGATCATCCACATATAAGCAAACAAGTAATATATCTCCATTATTATATTTCTTCAAATAGAGGGCATTCTCATAAGGGCATTAGATATAATCATTTTGTTTGAAGTATGAATCGATTCTTGCATTCCATGCTCTTGGAGCTTGCTTTAACCCATATAAAGCCTTTTTTAATTTATAAACTTTTGATTCATGCCCTTCTTTAATATATCCCAGTGGTTGTTCGACATAAACTTCTTCTTCAATGACTCCATTTAAAAATGCAGATTTAACATCCATTTGATAAATAGACCAATTATTTTGTGAAGCAAGAGAAATAATCAAGCGAATAGTTTCCATACGAATAACTGGAGCAAATACCTCATTGTAGTCGATGCCTTCTTTCTGCTTGTATCCTTTTGCTACTAGCCGTGCCTTGTACTTTTCTACTTCACCTTTTGCATTTTTCTTCACTTTGTATATCCATTTTACACCAACAGCTTCATGTCCTTTTGGTAATGTTGTGAGCTCCCATGTTGCATTCTTTACTAGAGATTTGATCTCTTCATCCATAGCACTTCTCCATCTTTCGTCTTTTATAGCTTCTTCGAATTGTAATGGTTCATTATTTGCAAGCAAGCAAATAAAATGAAGCTCGTCAGTTACCTCATAAAGCTCTCTTAAGTTTCTTGTCTTCCTTTGCCTTTGATTATCTTCTAAAGTACTTGGAGAATCTTGCAAATTTTTAGATAATTGCTCTTCATCTTGTAGCTCCATCGGTACTTGCTCTTCCTTTTGAGTGTCTTTATTTTGCCAATCCCATGCTCCTTCTTCATCAAACAAAACATCCCTGCTAAAAATGATTTTTGAAGTTTTGGGATCAAATAAGTTATAAGATTTAGATTGATACCCGATGAAGATGAGTTTGGAGCTTCTGTCATCCAGCTTAGTCCTTCTTTGTTCGGGGACATGTGCATATGCAATGCTCCCAAACACCTTTAAAAGAGATATATTTGGCTTTCTTCCTTTCCATGCTTCTTATGGTGTCATATCTTGTAAACTTGAAGTTGAGCACCGATTGAGTGCATGGACAGCACATGTCACTGCCTCGGCCCAAAATTCTTTAGGCATACTCTTGCTTTTGATCATGCTTCGTACCATATTAAGAATAGTATAATTTTTTCATTCCGCTACTCCATTTTGTTGGGGTGAAAATGGTGCTATTAATTAATGTCGAATTCCATGCTCTTCATAATATTCTTTGAATACTTTGGACGTAAATTCACCGCCTCGATCTGATCTGATGGATTTTATTAAAATTCCACTTTCTTTTTCTGTACTTGCTTTGAATTTCTTAAACATAGTGAAAGCTTCTGATTTCTCTTTCAAAAAATAAACCCATGTTTTTCTTGAATAATCATCAATAAAAGTTAAGAAATGTCAATGCTTACTAAAAGATGCTGGAGCAATGGGTCCACATACATCCGTGTGGATTATTTAAAGAAGCTTCTTTGCTCTAAAGCTTGCTTCATTTGGAAAACTCTTTCTTGGTTGTTTTCCAAATACACATCCTTCACAAATTTGATTTGGATGATTGATATCTGGCAAGCCATGCACCATTTCTTTTCTTGACATATTATTTAGATCTCCAAAATTTAAATGCCTAAGCCTCATGTGCCAAAGCCATGATGGATCTTTCACACATGTCTTTAAACATTTCGTCACTCCATTTTTTATATTAAGAATAAACATTCTATTTCTTTTCATCTCCACTTGGGCAATTAATTCATTTGAATTAATTTTAATTGTGAGCTTTTTATCCTTCACATGAATGTCAAATCCTTTCTCAAGTAATTGCCCCAAACTTAAAATATTTCTTTTCATATCCGGAACATAATAAACTTCAGAAATAAATTGATGGGTTCCAACTTTAAGAAGAATAAGGATTTTACCTTTTCCTCTTACCAGAATTTTTGAAGAGTCGCCAAAATAAATTTGACTCTCCAGCGCCTCCATTTCTACGAACATATTTTTTTCCCGACACATATGGTTTCTTGCTCTAGTATCTAAATACCAATTGTTTTCTTTTTCATCTTCTTCTCCTTTCAATGCTAATAATACAACTGGATCATCTTCCTTCTCTTTAACAAGATTGGCTTTCTCTTGATTATGATAACATTTAGAAGCATAATGACCAAATTTATTGCAAGTATAACAACGAACATAAGATTTTTTGTACCTTTGATATTTTGGCTCTTTCTTCCACTCTTCATTTCTTGAGTTTTGATTTTCTTCATTATTTCTTTTATATCCACCACGTCCTTGTCCACTTCCTCGGCTTTTTCCAAAGCCACGACCACGACAGCGACCTCGACCACGGCATTGTCCATAAATGTCTCGATCATTTGAATTATCTTCATTTTTTGTGTCGTCTTTGTCACCTTTCAATGAGAACTTTGATTGGAGAACTTGTTCGATTGTATCATGCTTTTTCTTATTTTTTCTTTACTCATAAGCCATTAAAGAGCCCATTAGTTCATCAACAGTCATTGTCTCTAAATCTTTAGCTTTCTCAATAGCTACGACAATATGCTCAAATTTATCATTTACCGAGCGTAGAATTTTTTCTATCACTTGAATATCTTCTAATGCTTCTCTATACCTTCGTAGTTGATTGACGATAGTCAAAACTCTTGTGAAATAGTCCTCCACATTTTCTGCTTCCTTCATTTGAAGTGACTCAAAATCGGCTCGGAGAGTTTGAAGTCGAATCTTCTTTATCTTGTCTATGCCTTTGAATGCAACTTGAAGTATATCCCAAGCTTGCTTAAAGGTAGATGAACTGGCCACTTTCTCAAAGTTTGCTTCATCTAGAGCTTGATAGATAAAGAAGAGCGCCTTCTTATCTTTCTTTCTACTTTCTTTCAACAGTTCCCTTTGGGCTGTTGATAATACTGCTTCTTCTTGATGCTCGACATAGCCTTTCTCGACTATCTCCCAAATATCTTGAGAGCCAAATAGTGCCTTCATTTGAAGACTCCAATTCTCATAGTTCTCCTTTGTGAGACGAGGCACTTGTAGATTCATACTACTTGCCATCGAACTTAGCTCTGATACCACTTTGTTAGAGAGAAATTATTTTGTAAGAGTGGAAGAGGATAAAACAAAAGGAACTTCTATTATAAAATTTTCTCTCTTACATCCATATGACAAGACTCAATGCATATTTATACTAGTACAAAGACATTTCTAGAAACATATTCTAGAGATTTCAATAATAAAGACTCAACAACCAACCACTAAGAGTTATTGTATTTTCTAGATTTTGCTTTCATACAATTTACTACATACACAAAAAACTTAAACATTAATTTTGGTTTATATTTCCAACAACTTGGTCATTAATTTTGGTTTATATTTCCAACATAGGTAACCTCCATTTTCCTCCAATACTTTTGATACATCATAAAAAAAAATTCATCAAACACGAATCTCGAGGCAAAATCAAGTTGGAAATAGGGCTGCAAACGAAACGAGCCGAGTCGAGTATGTGAGTGTTCATTTAATATCTACTTGTTCAAGTTTGGTTCATGTTTGTTTGAGCTCTAGCGTTTGTGTTCATTTTTGGTTCATTTAAATTAAGGAGTGTTCATGTTCGGTTCATGTTCGTTCGTTTAGTGTTTATCAAGCTTGTTCGCGAACATATTTAACGAATTTTTTTAACTATCAAACAAACATGTTCATGAACATATTTATGAACAAACACATTTATAATAAAAGCAATTGTCTATGTAATAAAGGTAATGATTATTTATATTTATTAATTTATAGTCAAATATTAATTATTTTTATCGAGCTTAATCACGAGTTGAAAATCGAACATGAATCGAGCTTTTATTGAGCTTCTTATCGAGCTTAACATCGAGCTTGTTCACGAACTTCAAATGATATTGTTCGCGAACATAAATGAGCTTAACGCATTAGTGTTAAAGTTTGTTTATTTAAGAACCGAGTATTTAAAATATTGTTCAAGTTTGTTTGTTTAGTTAATTAAACGATCGCAAACGAGCTTTGATTGAACCGAACAACGAGTAGCTCGCCGAACGTTTGGTTCGCTTGCAGCCCTAGTTGGAAACTTCTGAAATTAAAATTGGGGCCATCTGAACTCTGATTTTGGCAAACTTATAGTTGAACTCAACACTTCAAAAATATGAATCCAATGACAACAAATTCAACTCAATCCAATTCACAATGGGTCCAAATCAAGGGCCCAATTTGTCCAAATCAAGGGCCCAAAGGGTTGTTGGAAGGTTCAAACCACAATTTGAATTATCAAACGACTTGCAAACTTGACATGCTTATAGTCGAATTGACCAGCTTGACAAGACGAATCCAACAAGCTAAGAACCACAGAATTCTAACATCATCAAGACCTCTAATTGTCTAGAGAACGGTTCATGATCACGATCACAAATTTCGGTGGATTTTCCGGCGGATTTCTGACGGAAAATTTCCGACCAATTTTCGACGTTTTTTTTTACTTGATTTCCGACGAAATTCTAAGAAGAATCCAAAAGAAAAATAAAAATTTTTGAATTTTAAAAAATATATTAAAAAATATTTTAGAAAAATATTTTAAAGAAATTATTTTCAAAATAAATTTTTGAAATTAAATATTTTTTATATTTTAAAAATAAATTAAAATTTTGAATTTAATAACTTAAATTAAAATAAAATAATTTAAATTATAATTTAATTATTCAATAACAAAAAATTAAATGATTTAAATTATAATAATATTTA